CCAACCGTCCAAGAATTCACATGCATCAAAGAATCGACTAATGCATTTGACGACATATTGTTCGTCAAAACTACTCGGTCGTGGAGCTTCAATTGTTGGGAAACGAGATAAGTAATCCACGATTCCTAGCTTACAGCCGGAGATATGGAAAATATCGAAATCGAAAGGTAATAACCTATCAACCCATCTAGTTAAACGTGACTGATAAGTTTTGTTTCCGCGGTTCGTCTTTAATGCAGATATGATTGCTTTGTGATCAGTTAGAATCACGAAATGATTCCCTAACAAGTACGTTCGGAAATGCTCACACGACCATACAATTGCTAGGAGTTCTAATTCATTGGTACTGTATTTCTTCTCCTGATTGTTTACAAAACGTGATGCAAAAGCAATTGGCACCCAAACATCCTCTTCTATCTCCTGTTCTAATGCTGCACCCAGACCACTATGACTAGCGTCACTTTTCACCCGCGAGTTCCGACTTTGGTCATAGTGATACATTTTTGTTATGTTCGGGATCAACTGCAAGATGTTGCGAAACGCCATTTGCTGACATTCCCCCCACTCAAATTTGCTTTTATTACCTGCCGTCAGTGATGGGCGTAATTGGTCGGAATGGACCTGAAGATTCGGCAAAAACCGTTGTAGATGGTTGAGGATGCCCATGAATGAACGGAGTTGTTTGAGTGTCCTTGGTGGTTCCAGAGCAAGTACTGCCTCTATCTTAGAACGTTTCGGTCTGTATCCTTCTGAATCAATATCGTATCCTAACCAAGATAATTGATTTAAGGAAAACTCGCATTTCGAAAATTTCAGAGCAAAACCTTCTTTATCCAGACGACTTATCACCTTGTCTACAAGAATATTATGATCCTCGACTGAGCCCTTCGAAACAATCAGAATATCATCAAGGAAACAAAATACTCCTGACAGACCCTGGAGAGTATTGTCCATCGCTTTTTGGAATTCCTTTGGCATGTCCGTAAGACCATAAAACCCCGTCTTGAACCGATACGTACCAGTTTGTTCTCCGCAGACGATATTAAAATTGCAATGTCGGCTAATTTCCTCACTGAGCGAAATCTGGCTGAAGGCATATTTTAAATCTAAGGACGTAAACCAAACATCTCCTGAAATATCCGACGTGATTATCTGGGCGGCTGAGTCCAATAGTTCTAACAAATTTGGCATTTGGTAATGATTCTTATGAATTTGTTCATTCATAGGTTTAGCATCCATAGCTAATTTCACAGAACCATCTTTCTTCGCCGTAATTACGATCGGAGGGATGAAATACTCACTGGTACATTTATTCAATTTAACCACGTGCCCTTCATGAATGAGTTTTTGAATTTCCTGACCAACTTTATCTTGAATATGCACCGGCACTCTCCTTCCCTTTTCTTGAATGGAGACGAGTGGAGACTTGAACGTAGAGAACACTTTGTGGTTTTTGGCTTTGCCAATTCTATTGAACACCCGATGGAACTTCTGGTGAAAGTGAGATTTCCATGAATCCGATGTTAAATTCGGGTTTGATTGGGAGACTTCTCCCACCAAAGGACGATCTGGTCTGACTTGCGTTGTTCTTACTCCCAATTGGGGTTGCAAATCCAAACCCAGTAAACAACGTGTTCGATTTTCTGATATAAGGAATTTTGCAGACTTGATATGCCATCCCAAAGATGATACATCCATAATCAACGTACCCATCAATTCAATTTTCTTCCGATTATAGTCAACGTAAACTGTATCAATTGGACTTTCTTGAACTGTGAAGAACTTGGCTGAAGGAACCGTTTTTATAATATAGTCTGCTGTCTTCTTATTCACGAAGGAGGCTGGACTCCCAGTATCCACTGTTGCCTTGAAAAACGTCTTACCACAACGTAGTGTAATCTGGATGGAACGTAACTTGCCCGTGACTGCATTGACCACCTCCAACTTTTTCACTGATTTAATTGGGAGACTTGGTTTCACAGCTGCAACAGATAAAACAGTGAATTCCGACTCACTATCGGACGTGATGAAATTACATGTTTCTTCCACTGTCTCATCTGACTCAGCTTCCACGTTCGCTACATTCTTAGAATTACAGCATTTGGCAAAGTGACCCTTTTTGTTACAATTCCTGCAAGTAACATTTCTGGCTGGACAACTCTGCTTGTGGTTTGGTGAGAATCTGTTACCACAGAAATAACATGACTTCGATTTCTCGTTGATCTCCTTCTTCTTACCATTCTGGGCCCGATTAATCCTGTCTGAAAGTTTCTTACCCTGGACAGAGAAGGTGGGTTCCTGTTTTATCCGGGAATTCTGACCCATAGTAGCACCTGCCTGGGAATAATTGCCCGACGACGACGAACTCCCGAGTTGCCTTTGCAAGTCGGTGGCCGTCTGTGCTCCCTTTTCTTGCAGTAAAGCTGATTTCAGAGAATCCTCCGGAGTGGCACCTGGATGAATACATAATTCTCTCTGAATATCCTTATATCTCATTTTGGCAATGAAGATATCTCTGACGACTTCCTTTTCTTGATCAATTGTCCATCCACACAGGGCGGCTTGTCCCGTCAATCGTAAATAGAATGCTTCCAAACTTTCTCGGTCTGAATGTACCGCGTTGTAGATTTGCATACGTTCAATGATGAAATTTTTCTCCTTTTTGAATAGGAGAACACAGAATTCATGGAATTCCCGAAACGTTAATTCACTCAGATCTGCATGAGGATAACTTTGGAGGAATCTTTTCCTCCCTTCTGAGCCGAGCGAGAAAAATAAGCGAGATTTAACACGTTGTTCAACCTCGAAATAATACACTCCTGGTGCAACTCGGGGACCTTTCGCCCGGCGCTCTTCATTCATTTCTGTGACTTTCCGGACTGCTGCGTCATTACGTGCAATACGACTTGCGATTGCTGCAGCATCTTCATCCGCCCCTACAACTTCTGGTTTTGGAGCAGGATCGTCGTGTACGACACCCGGAGGTTTTAATAACTCTCGTGGATCGCATCTCTCTCTTAGAGTAATTGCCAAATTGAATTGACCTATCCACGAGTCCCAGCTATGTGGTGGGTCCGCAGTTGGTTTATGCCAAAATACGGATACGCCCAACAGGTCAGTTCGATCCTCGGAGGTCGAAACTGCTGGCTGCGCCATGTGAAACGTCGAAAGACAGTTTTAAAACAAGAATCAATTCTCCTTGTTATGTTATCATATAGATAATATAGATAGATTAGTATTTAAATAATGTCATGACAATAGAAGTAAATACAACTTAAATCTTTCATAAGTTGAACAGAGAATGAATAGAACGCATGCTGTTAAGGTTCAAGTGGATTGGCAGGTCGGTAACGACCTTGACCGATAATGGAGTTTAGCACGAATAGCTAGCACACTGATGACGTCATGTTTAAGACTAAACAACGACGCACCACACCCCTTATAATGGACTTCAAATGAATTATGTTGCATTTTGGTTTTTGCGAAAACAAATGGGGGTTTGGGTCCGTTTTATGTCCAAACTTTTTGTCTGAGCGTCACATGGTAATCGCTTATATTGACAATATTATAGAACGAAAAACTCTATTGTAATCAGTTTTTTTTTCAAATTAAGCTCAGGGCAACAATAGTTTTCGAATGATATAAAACAAATCCATCAAAAATAGCTAGTTCAAAACCGCAATTTGTCTGAAGAAAAAAAATATTAGCGTTAGCGCACAAATATTCCGTTATTTTCGTTCCGAAATTCGGAACAATAACAACAAGACTGATTGTATCAAGGCAAAGCGTTGAATGTTCAGACTGCCTTTTAAGGTCTATGGAGCAGTATTGACTTGAAAAAATTGACTAAAATAAAAAAAAAAACAAATTTTTTGCATTTGAGATTTTTTTGTTAAAATCATTCCCCACACGCCAAATAAAGCACAAAGTGATAATTTTCCCCTTAGTAACAAATCAATTCTGGCAAATAAGCTTCGTTCGATCAGTTTGGATCGATTTTTAAGACGGATTAAATATCGGCTTACACGTTAATAGCGCGAAGTATATCGCGCGTTAATTGTCCCAAATTGGCCAAAATGGCAACATTTAAACCACCATTATCTTACAAAAACTGATTACAGATGAAATATCTTTATTCCGACTTTCGATACGAAAGTAACGGAATATTCGGGGAGGGTTTTTTCTTCAGACAAATTTCGACTTTTTAACTAGCCATTTTTGACGGAATTTTTTTATATCATTCAAAAGGTATTGTTGTCCTGAGCTTAAATTTGAAACGATATTTCACCTGTGATCATTTTTCGTAAAGTTATGAGGGTTTAAAGATTGCCATTTTGGCCATTTTGACCAATTTGGGACAATTAACGCGCGATATAATTCGCGCTATTAAAGCGTAAGCGGAGATTTAATCCGTCCTATAAATCGTTCCAAATTGGTTCAACGAAACTTATTTGCCATAATTGATGTGTTACAAGGAACGAAAACTATCTTTTTGTACTTTATATGGCGTGTGGGGGGATGATTTTCATTAAAAAAAAATTTTTCATTTTATTTTATTTCATATAATGTTTTTATGTTATTACTGCTGCTCCATAAACCTTCAAAAGCAGTCGGAACATTCAGGGCTTCGCCCTGATACGAGCAGTCTTGTTTCAAGTTTAGGCTCAAGACAAATGATATTTTACAAAATTCCGTTCAAAATGGCTAGTTAAAAAGTCGAAATTTGTCTGCAGAAAAAAAAACACCCCGAGCTCAAATGTTCCTTTACTTTCGTTATGAAAGTTGGAAGAATAAGTTGTTATCAGGCTCACCTATTTGCAGACAACTATACGATATTGGTAACTTAATGAGTCGTACTTACTTGAAATTTGGTGTAGTCCTAGATACTTTTTGCTCAGTCAGCTCTGTTCACGAGCTATATCAAAATGAGTAGTCAATTTTTTAATCCTAATTGCCAGTTTTGTTTGTTTTTTGCGCAAAAACAGATTGGGGTTATGACAATAATATCAATTTACGATATGGTTGATAATTAAAAGACAACTTTTGAATGCAATACTGAAATAATGAATAAAACCACTGAAGTAACTAAATATGTCGAAATAATGGAACACTGAAACAGCAAATTTACACCTATATAAATTATAATTTGTATAACCATAGACACTGAGAGATCATAATTCATTTGATAAAAAAATCCTTTACTACAATAAACCGTCTGCTCTAAACTCGGCTGTGAAGTTGTGGGTTTGTTTCACTAAAGCAATCGCATCGTCTTTTCCCTTAGCAACTTTCGATTTTGATATGTCACAGAGAAATTTGTACACGTAGCGTCTTCCCGACGACTTAGCAAGGATCTTCTTGCTGTAGTAGTATCGCAACCCTCGCGCTAGTTTTTCATAGTTCATCTTCGGTTTCGTCTTCCGTACACCCCAAAGTTTGGCAACCTGGTCGGGTGTTTTGAGAATGAATTCATAGTCTGTTCCTGTCCAGCATATTTTGTCGCGGTGTTCCCCTTTTAGGAGCAACTCGAGCAGGAATTCCCACAAGTGAATGTTGCAGTCGGAACTCATCGCTTCAAAAGCCGAATCGGATCTCATTCCTTCTGAAATAAGTTTAGTAAGGTATGTGCCTTGATTGGGAGAGGGATTGCAATACTTAGTACAGCATCATATTCATTTTAGGATTATTTGCTAATTTAATGAATAATATGTTTCGACAAAGTCTTTGCTTTTTGCAGCTTTAAATTACCAATCGAAAGGTCACTTTTTGATAACTAACTCTAAAATTTAATGGCCGTCTTTGGCCGCACTATCTGCGATGAACGCTTTATCCTTTGGCCGAACTATCTGATGACACATGTTAATGGCCGCATTATCTAATGGCCGCCTTTGGCGCCGATATACACTGAAACTGAGGGAAGAACTAATCACTCACCTTTCTTCTCAGACTTCTTTGAGTTGTTATTGTTATTGTTCAACACTAGGTTGATTGAAGTCTCGATTCTGTCAATTGCATGGTATCTCACAGGTCCCCCTCCTCCCACCGAATCTTTTCCGCTTCCAACTGAACTCGCTCCATCACTGCTCGAGTTAGGGGACACCTCTGAAAGCTTGGTGTCAACCTCCAGTTTTTGATCAGAAGCCGTCTCGACGGGAGTTGTCATTGAACTCGGCTCATTGGGTAACGAAAACCCAGTCGGAGAAGTTGACATCATGTTATGCACTCCAAAGCGACTATTGTGATCATTATTATGAACGCTACTTTGAACAGACGAGAAACTTGCAATCGGGCTAAAGCTTCTGTTCTCAATTTTAGGCGGCATCAGTTCGGTAATCACAGGTAAAACATTCCCTCCCGTTACATTATTGTTATGTTTATTGTTGTTTATGTAATCCCTGGGTTGGAAGTTACCCTGTTGAAAAACCTGGCTCTGATTGAAAGCTTGATTGACGCTTGAGATGTTACTGATGACACTGGGTGATGATGGTTGGAGGCTTTGATGTTCACTGGGGTCAATTGGTTTGAGCTGTGCGAATATCTGGTTCTGTTGCACCTCGATATACTGGTTGTTTGTGTTTTGCAGTTTTTGACTTTTGCCGCTCTGTAGTAACTGAATTGATGGCAAGGCGCCAACATCTGAAACACAACGTTTTTCGACAATTTTTTTTCATATATATTTCTAACAAGCTGCTGAGGACATAAGAGAGCATAAAATTTGGCATCCTATAAGAGCAGAGAGGGAGTCTGCGTTTCAAACTAACCTGATGAGTTATTGTAAGCTGATGGACCTCTAAGAGAACTATGATCAATCTCAGATCGCATGTGCTCACCGTTGACCTTGGACGTGGGAGGTGGTTTCTTGTAAGCAGATATGTAAGAGTAAGTAGCGACCACAGGCTGATGAGAAGTGTTTTTGAATGAGTGTTGATCATTTGTAGGAGGTGGGCTTGAGAAAGAAGAAGAACAAGAAGTCACTGTAGCTGATGATGTTGATGATGAGAATGAAAGGAGAGTTGGTGATGATGATAATGATGATGACGTGTTGATGTTGTCACGTGACCCTGATGACGTCATGAAAGTGTCCACCGGAGGAGTCACGAGGGTAGTGTAGGTTTTTTGAACTGAAATTGAACCATTATAATTATAATTTTGCTATGAGTCGCAGGGTCGAAGAAAACCTTTGATTCGATTCCGACCAAGTTTTTTAAGTCTTGTAAGCGTTTTCTTTGTTTGCGTTGGGGGACTTAGGTAATGTTTATGAACAATTACTAATTGCTAAAACACTACGCTACACAGGGGCGGATCTAGGATTTTCTCGAAGGGAAGGGCGGATTTTGAAAAAATTTTCGAAAATTTTGACGATCTTTTTTTCTTGATTTTTCGAGCTCTACTAAAGAAAAAGAAAGACGCTGTTTTGACCCAATTTTCTGCGCCACAGGCAAAGTTTTGGAAAAAAAACAGGTCAGAAAAACCGTTTTTAGGCATTAGGAAACGTTTGACAAAAATTAGGTTTTTTTTAGAGCGCGCTCCCTCTCAAAGTTAGTATATATCCGCGCCCAAGGCGCCATTAGAAAAACTTTAGGGTCGATCGGCAAAAATGGATTTCTGAAAAAGTAACAAAGGGGGGACCCTTTGAGTCGGCAGGGGGTCGAATCCCTGAAAGGAAGCGTCCACCAAAGAGCAGAAACATTCAGACTGTTTTTTTCTGGATATAGCAAAAACTATATCTGATTTTTTTCAAACTGTCAGAACCGACCGATAATGAATTAAAGAGTACCAAGCGATAAATAATTCGACCTCTTTTGTCTGGTGCCTGTGTTGATTGAAATATCATAAGCGTGAAGCGACTAGGAAGAAGCTTGCCATACCATTTTTTATATAATAGCCTCATTTGGTTTTATAATTTGTTTAACTAGGGCAAAAAAGGGGTAAAAATAGAGATACATGGCTTCAATGTTTAAAATTTTGCGCATTTCATTTAGATGTTTAGAGCTGAGCCAGTGCAATTTTTAAAAAAATATATTTAATATCGTTTTCAATTTAGCTCAATTATACTGATAATTTCTGCAAGACAAAAATTTGAATTAATAGCTTTTTTTTAAAAACATGAAATCATTTTTGACTGTGCAAAACCTATAATCAACAATTTCTTTTCCTATAACCAATTTCTGGATTCTTCAGTTTGTTGTTTAACACATCGAAATGGAGATAAGGCTCAAATTTTTTTTACTAGGAAGTACATTTAAGAAGTGTGATCTTGGTCTTAACGGCCCAAAATCAGTGTTTTTACAGCTTTCATGAACTCAAAATAAAAACCCGCACCGAAGTTTCTCCGATTATTATCTATTATCTGGCGATTTTGTGGTCGAACGAAAAAATGTTCTTTTAATAATCAATTATCTGGTGATTTTGTGGTCGCAGAGTAGAATAATCGATTATATGGAGAAAAAAATCCATTAAAAAACTTAAATTTTATGTCGATTATATTGGAATTGTAATAGATTATTATAGATTCCCGCACCGAGCGCAAATGGATCATAATCGATTATATTTTCATAATATGGTTCGCAATAAAATGACAAAATAATCTATTATAATCCATTAAAAATGGATTATAATCCTAAATTTTTTTTGTCAATATAATCCATTATAATCAATTTTAATCGATTATAATGGATTTTTTCGAGGGCTTATTCATGAAATTTACAATTTATTTAAAATTATCTTATTTCCAAAATAGTGTAGTTGTTACGTATTACGTTTCATAAAATGTTACATTTCAGAAAAAATTTTCTACACTTTTTGGTCTCTGTTTTCAAATTCATCGCATTTTAACACTTCATTTTACCGTTTTTTTATGACAAACCCCCCTCCCCCCAGTTTACGCCCCTCCCACTATTTATCCTCCCCACAGTTTACCACTTTACCCCACCCATGCTTTTAAGAAGAGAAAAAGTCAGTTTTTCAGACAATAAAATCCATTTTATTGACAACGTAATTGATGTTTTGGGTCCTAGATTTTACTGCAATTTTATGGCGATTGCAATTTTTTTTTGCGTTTTTTTGGCAGTTTTATGGCGAATAAAATAGATTTCATTGCGATTTTATGGCGACTTCAGGGTGAAAAAAAATAGATTTTATTGAGATTATGTGGAGATAAAAAAAACACAATTTAGTGGAATTATAAGTCAATATAATCTTCATGAAAATATTCTATTTTCTTTCTATTATAATAGAAAATGTTGCTTAAATTGGTTACACACAATCGATTATAATGGCAACATTTTCTCAATATAATCTATTTTTATCCGAGAAACTTTAGTGCTGGAAGGTCGAATCTGATTGGCTAATAAGACAATCAAATTCAAACATGGTGCTGGATTTCAATTGAATTTTTTAACAGATAGAGTTGTTGGCCAAAATAAACAAAGTTTTAACTTTTATTCTGTTGAAGCCATTTTACATGGAAGTTACTAGAAAAAAATATATTTTCAGACTAAGTACAACACTTTGGTTACTTCGGCTAATTTTTTTATCTGCTGGAAGTTTTGATTGATTTGCTTGAACATGTTGCTTGAATTTGAATGGCCAATATTAGCCAATCAGATTCGACCGCTTAAGTTTCAATTCAAGATATAAAAATCTTGATTTTGGGCCCTTTTGTTCATAAGACCCTGCAATCTTATTAACGAGTTTGGGAACTAGAAGAAAAGGCTATACAGCTAAGCTAAAGTTTTATAAGTTTGAAACTAAACCAGCAAAGTATTGGAAAAAAAGCAATAATCGCAAGGAAATCAAAAAAATTGGTTGACATTCTTTTCGAGTTTCGGAAACAAGTAAACATGGCTTAAAAGCACTCTGATTTTTAAAATCAAAATATGATTGACAAATTTTTTGATAAAACCAACCAGTTTTTAAAACAAACAGGATCGGTGGAAACTTTTTTTTATTGCGCTGGCAAATTCGAATTTACACTCATTTTCGAAACTTGAAGTCCTTCACGTTTTTTCGCGCCATATTCATTTTCTTAAGTGGAGAGCATATTTGTCTTCCATTTGGCAAATGAGATTGATTTGAATCTAAAAAATGCATATATAAATAAGGGAATTTTTAAATGAAAGCACGTCGGGGAGCATTTTAAGGCTTTTACTAAAAAACATCAACGTGACTCATATAAGTTTCGCTGCTGCGTTCATTGACACTTGAAAGTTTAAGTTTTCTTTGATAATGTCACCATAGTAAGAGCAGCTTTTTCAACACCTTAGAACATAGCATCGAGAGTGAGTAAAATCTTGAATCATTCAAAAGGCTTGGAAAACAATTTCAGTCAAAAAAATTGCCCAGCTATTACATTTTTAAACTTTATTCAGACTTTAATTGGAGCCTATGCAAGTTATACTAGTTTTTTGCAGGTTTAGAACAGACACCTTGTCCTTTTTTTGAATTGCCGCAAGTTTAAGATCAAAGCAATCCTCTCATTTTTTCCTGCTGTGACTTTAAAAATTTACGCAAGTAATTTGAACTCAAATTTAATCTGAGCAGTGCCTTTTTCCTCTCCATTCTAACCTGGTAAATCTATCACGCTTTCGAAACACTCTTCAATTTGATCAAAACCAGGTTCTTCGTCCATTTCCGTTTGCTCATATTTCATTACTGGTGGATCTGCATCAAACGTTGAAAATATTATGTTTTCATTTCCTACCAAGCCGAGACTTCTATAACTCATCGCCCCGTTTTCAGATTTTGTTTGCATTTGGAATTCATTCATCTCATCTTTTTGGTCATTTTGCCCAAATGCTGGGTAAATGTAATACCGATTGTTGTTGTCATATACGTTTCCGAAGTGTTGTACATTTATTTTATGTGACATATAACCATCTTCAACGTCTTGTAGTTTCACTGATCCAGATTGACTGAAGTTTTTTCCAAGTTCTACAGGGTTTTGAGGAGAGAAAACTGACATCACAGGTGAAGTTTTAAAGGTAGTTGTTGCTGCTTCGACTTTTCCCAAGTTTTCCAAAGTTTTCTCTGGAGTTTTTCTCTTCTTGTCGATGCTGTGAAGAAAACTGTCTTGGCATGAAATTTTTTCCTGATTTTCGCAATCTAATTTTTTTTGAGTTAGTATTATGACTGTGTTTACTGATTGCTCAACGCATGAAATACTATTATAAGTACTACCTAAATTAGGTAACTTTTTAGCATCACTTTGGCAATTGTCGACCACTGTTTCTGGAACTAGTTTTTGAACTTTTGCTTTTGGACTTCCAGTAGACGGCAGCAATGATGAAATGACCGGCAAGCTTTGAGGAACCGGTTTTGCTCCTGGTGAAGCAACTCCTTTCGAATTATTTACACTAACAGGTGATAAAAATGATGATATATTACTTTTGTTGCAGTCGACTCTTGAAGCCTCCAACTGATTATAACCGTTAGCGTTGTTGTTGTTGTTGTTGTTAATGTAATTTATGCTGTTTACGTTGTTGTTGTTGTTGTTGTTGTTGATGTTGTTGATGCCGATGGTTTTATTATTAGCACTGGTGGTGTTTCTAACTGAAGTGGTAATCAGAGACTTATAACTGGAGCTATCAGAGCTCACATTACAATTCGAGTTCGTTGACAGCGAGTAAATAGGCTTAATGTACTTCGGCTGAATGAGTTCTGAGGAGCTCTCACGAGGAGGTTCCGCACGTTGAGTCCAACATTGGTCATTTTGGTTATTAAATATAACAGCTGGTTTAGAGTTGTTGATAACATCCGGTGACTGATGGCATGGAGTGTTCACTGATAATTGTGATTGATTTGGATGTTGTTTGTTTCCTGATGTGGATACGTAATGATGCTCGTTAGTTTTGTTCACATCTGCGAGAAATGATGAAAGTGTTGAAAAATGAGGCAGAATCAATTTCGGTTCCTCCTTTTTTCTTTCGGGCTTTGGAGGGCTTTTAGGTCTCAACGTCGAAAAAATATCGAGCGACCTCAACGGGGGAAGATGAATTTTCCCGCTGTTTACTTGTTGGTATCTGTTTTGTAGGTTGTTGTTATTGTTGTTGTTTATATTTGGTTTCTGGGATCCACGGGAAGAATTGGAGGAAAAGTCCGGAAACAAGGTGACAATCTGAGGAAGTTGAGTAGCAATCGTGAAAAGATTATTATGACGTAACTGTAATGTGAACAAAGAGGGTATATATAATTAGATTATGTAACAATTCAAAATGATGTCACCTTAGATGAAGAATCGAAAACCATCAAATTTTGACATGAAATTGAAGTTTCCAGCCCTCAAGCACTTTTGGAGTACTCACTACTTTACGCAAAGTGGGACCAAATAAAATCTGGTTCACTGTTCCAATAAAATACAAAAAAATTGTTCAAGGTCTCAGGCTACTTTTGTTGGTAAACGGTGACGGCAAAAGGTGCTTCGGGCAAAATGTGGTTATTGCTAATTTTAGTGCAATTCCTATAACAGTTTCTAACCGGCATAAAGATCATAAACTCCTGGCAATATGAGTATTTTTTTGAATAATTGGTGACTTTTTGAATACCGTGCTGTAGCTTTTGTGGTTGTGCGGTGAAGGTGATGTTAGTGATGTAAAAAAGACGATTTGAAAAACTTGAAAGAGAACTGCGGGCGGCTTTTAACTTGAATGCATCACTTCAATTTTGCAGTTGCAGTTGGTATTTCGTAGTTTTCAATTAATCCTTCTTTCAGCCTTTTTCTGCTCTGATTTCAGAAGCAACCTTTTAAAGATACTCGAGAATATGCTGAAAATTATGTGATTGTTTGTTGTTACAAACTTTTTCAGCACAGGAACCACGTTGGCAAAATTTTCATTTTGTTCGAGCTGGTTTTTGTGTAACTTTTCACAAATAAAGAAATAAATAAGAAAATGGCCCGAAATACCTGCGAATAACTAAGAATGCGGAGGCAAGGTGAAAAAGAATGGAAAATGGAAAATTAGAATAACAATCGCGCAGCAATAATCAATGTTCAATCAAGAAACAAAAATGAATCGATTTCTAAATTTTGCATATCTACAATAATGAGCTTTTACTCACTAATTTGCTTTTCTTTGTCACAAATTGAATTTCAAATGGAAGTAGAAACGATTTTGAAAATATTAAAAAAAAACAGTTTTTAATTCCTTATTTTACCACCGATGAACCCCTGTACTAAAACATCAGCTTCCACAAAGGAATAGATTAAAAATTACTCGCTTAATACGAACATTTGCATTTATATACCTGGGCCCATGTATTAAAATACGAAATGAGCGAAAGGTAAAAAGGGGAAAAATTCCACGGTGCAAATATTAAATGCGCTTTATAATGGGAATACAATTTTAGCATTGAAAAAATGTTCCCATAGCAACAACTGATATAAGGAAAGAAGCCAAATGCATATATCGCCGTGCAATTTTTCCCCTCAAAAAGCAATATACTTTAACATGTTTAACCACAAAAATGCTAATCAAGCTAAAAATACAAAGAGTAAAAAGGTAGATTTTAGAGGCAGAGAATATCTAATATTACAAATTTGAAAATAATTCTAGTTCATACTTTGTGGGGAAAACAGAGCAGAAATAAAAAAGGTCACAATCGAGCGAATCGAAGCAAAATTTTGAGCGACGATGGAGTCATAAAAATTAGCCGTCATTTAAAGTGCATAGTTTTTGTTCTATTTTTTCATTTTTTCTGTTTTGTGACTCTCTTTTTTAAAAGCAACCCGTTTTGCCCACCGTAAGGAAATCGGCAAGCAGCAATGAGCGCAAGCAATAAATCAAGTCATCCGAGAAAGAGGGTATCTGAGAAATGAGGAAGCTAATAAGAGATATGAACAAATGGAGAAGAGGAAACTAAATGAGACAAGTTGGCGATCGAGATATAACTCCAATCAATCACACCACAACAGTCGAGTTTTAGATGTACGCAGGCTAAAAACGAAGTTATTATTTTCAGATAATATTTCCTGGTGATATAAAATTCAGATTCTCAGAATGCGATAGGAAAAATAATTGGCAAGAAACACAAAAAAAATCCTATCAAGTTGCATTTGCATTAAGAAAAAAAAACGTGACATTTCAAACGGTCGCCCAAAATTGACATTACAAAATAGTACAAAGGAGGGACCCTTTGGGCCTGCAGGGGGTTAGATTTTGGGCAAAAAATTTGTGATAAAATACGAAGATAATCAAAAGAAAAAAAAAGATACCACAATAGTTATCGCACAGAATCATTTTTTTGTTTGATTGTCGCTTATAGGAAACTTTTTTGAAACAGTTTTTTTTGCCAATTTTTTTAGGTAAAACTGATGATTTCAATAACTATGGTTGAAATAGAACATAAAAACAAACTGTTTGAATCTGTTTCAAAATACAAAAAAAAATACAGACTGGAACAGGTGGCTTTGAACCGGCTCAAAATCAATTTGGACGGAGTTTATTTGGTTTGAATTTAAGATCAATTGAAAGAAAAATGATTGTAAGAGTGTGCCATGGTTTGTGCTCGTTGATTTAGGGAAGTAGATCCTGATTCCGGACAAAACAGCGGTTCTTCACTTCTACAATTTTCCCTACAATTTTCCCGAATGACTGGTAACCAGGGTTGACCTCCATAGACCAAAAATGCTAATCATACAATTCCATAAACTAAGTCTATGAGAAAATACTAATCATACAAATTTCATCCATTTTGCTAAAATGGTGTCGTCGAATTTTCAAAAAACTTTTATCTTGTTTTGGCATAAAATTCGGTGGTTCGTACTAAATAAAAAAGAAAAACTTTTGGAGATTGTATGACTAGCATTTTTTGATGGCGACGACAAAACTTTTTCAAAGAATTTTTGAAAATGCCACCAAAAATTTTTTTGTGTTTTTTTAACCGCAAATTGATTTTCGTACTCAAACAAACATGCAAAATTTTTTTTTGTGTGTATAACGTAGTCCTGGATATACTAATATTGGATTTTTTTTCCTTTTCTCTTCATACGTTTTTTCAAAAACGCTCATAACTCCTCTTTCTTTTGTATGACAAGTTTTTGTATGCCTTGATCAATGTCTGGTAATTTAAAAAATCAAATTTTAGAAATAATCATCTTTGAAAAATTTTGCCAAAACTTAAACGTTCGTTACTTTCGTTATAACTTTGTGTGAGACAGAATTAAAACATTTCAGGTTGTTTCCAATGCATTTTGAATGCGAAACAGCCAAAGCTTTGGTTACTATGTTGAGTAACCAAGGTTTATGTCATTTGTGTTCAGTTACGAACACAACCAAAAATTTTTGAGAAATTAAAATGTATAAAATCCATATTTTTGGGTAATGGAAAAATGCTAGTCATACAATTTCCATATATGAAAAAATAATAATCATATGCCTTTGATGCGATTTTCTGTACTTATGGAATTGCATGAAAAGGGTATGATTAGCATTTTTCCGTATATGAAAATTGTATGACTAGCATTTTTGGTCAACCCGGGAAATTTTCCTCGGAAAATTGAGTTTTTTTGCCTTTTCTTTAGTGTTGGGGATGTTTTCATCAAATTGATTTTCGTGGCCTTTCAAAGCATTGGTATATCAACAGTAAATTTGAAAAAAATTGAATCCTACTAGTTTTTTCAAAAAAGCTGTGGACTTCATGTTCGGCTAACTTGCATGGCAAACAGTTACTCATGACAGCAATAAATTACCATCTTTTCTTTTTTCTACACTATTGAAAATTTTTAAAATAATTAAAATTATACAAAAGAAAAATTTCCAGTTTTGCACGTTTCACTAAATTTTTGTTAGAAAAAAGTTTTCTTAAAAAACTGGTACACATTTTTTTGTGGTACAAAATTTTTCATTTTCCAAGTCAGTGTGTGGCTAGTAAAGTCATCTTGATGTGTTCTATGTTGTTCCATTCATCAAATCCACTGTGTAGCGATCGTTGCAGAAGCGAATTTGCCCTCTGGTGTTTTTTTTTGTCCGAAAACATTTGTCATCACAGTACTGGCAGTTTACCTTTCTTTTGGTCTTGACTACTAGACACTCATTGAGTTTTCACAAATTTGAAAAACAGTGGTGCCATTTTGGTGTTTTTAATAGGTTGCTTACTTTTTAATGGTATCTAGGAGTGCTTAACTTTTGATATAGGTTTCTTTTTCTTGAAACTTGTCTTTTTATGTCTTTATCAGTGATGCGTTTTTTTTGTTACAAGTTTTTCCTTTTTTGAGGACAGTGTCTGGCTACAATAGTCGTCTTGATGTGCACCTTTTTGTTCATTTCTTCAACTCTACTGAGGTAGCGATCGTTGCATCCGCGAAGTTGCGATGGTGTAGTTCTGTCTCAAAAAATTGTCGCAAAATGGTAGTTTCCACTTGCTTCTGGTCTTGGATGATGAATCTTTCTTGAGTTTTCACAAATTTTAATTACACAGCGACTATTTTTTTTGAGTTGATATTGCGTTTCGGACATGTTAACAATTCCTGGGACTAATAAGTTTTTTTTAATGTTCCTTAGATTTAGACTTTATGTTTCTGTGTTCGTCCTTGATGCGATTTTTTGTGGTACAATTTTTCTCATTTTCCGGGACACAGTGTGGCTTGTAAAATCATCTTGATGTGTTCCTTGTTGTTCCTTTCATCATGTTTACTGGGTTAGCGGTCGTTGCAGAATCTAATTTGCGCTGTTGTATTCTTTTTCCTATAAAAATTGTCGTCACAGTGTTGGCAGTTTTCCTTTCATTTTGAACTTGACTACCAGACTTTCATTGATTTTTCACAAATTTAAATTTGAAAGATAGTGGTGCCTTTTTGGGGTTTTATTGCAATTTCAACTTGCATATGGTACCTGGAAGTGCTTAGTTTTTGATTTCAAGTTTTTTTGGTCTTTATGTTGATTTATGTTTTTTGTTGATTTTGGTCTTTATGTTTCTAAAATATGTCTTTTTTTTGTGTTCATCCTTGATGCGACTTTTTGTGGTAAATTTTTTTTTCATATTCAGGACCGTGTGTGGCCATCTTGATTTGTTCTTTGTTGCTCTCTCCCTCAATTCTACTGGGTTAGCGATCATTGCAGAAGCTTATTTGTGCTCTGGTGTTTTTTGTGCAAAAAAAATTGTCATCACAGTACTGGCAGTTTTCTTTTCTTTTTGGCCTTGACTACCCGATCTGTATTCAGGTTTCACAAATTTGAAAGAGAGTGGTGCTTTTGGGAGGTTTTTAATGCTTTATTTACATGTTAATGGGGTGCTTACTTTTGATTTCAGGTTTTTTTCCCATTTAAACCTGTCTTTTTATGTCTTTATCAATGATGCGGTTTTTTTTGTGTCAAGTTTTTCCACATTGGAGAACAGAGTCTTGCTATTATAGTCATTTTTATGTGCTCATTTTTTTAAAAAAGTTTATACAATGCTACTGGGGTAGCGATTGTTGCACCAGCAATATTGCGCTGGATTGTTTTTGTTTCGAAAAAGTTGTCAGAAAATGGTGGTTTCCACTAGCTTCTGGTCTTGGCTACTGAATTTTTCTTGAGTTTTCACAAGTTTGAAATACAGAGCGACGCTTTTTTGGGTTGGTAATGCGGTTGGACTTGTTAAAATTTCTTGGGTGTTTTTAGTTTTTGATTAGGATTTTGTGTTCTGAAATGTATCTTTTTTTTGTGTTCGTCCTTGATGAGGTTTTTTGGGGTACAATTTTTTTTCGTTTTCCAGGTCAGTGTGGGAATAGTAAGGTACTCTTGATGTGTTCATTGTTGTTCCATTCATCAAATCTACTGCAGTAGCGATCGTTGCAGAAGCAAAATTGCGCTTTGGTGTTTTTTTTCCGAAAAAAAAAATTGTCGTCACAGTACTGACAGTTTTCCTTACGTTTGGCCTTCACAACTAGACATTCATAAATTTTTCACAAATTTGAATGATAGTGCTGCCTTTTTGGGGTTGTTATTGCAATTTCAACTTGCATATGGTACCTGGAAATGCTTAGTTTTTGATTTCAGGTTTTTTGGAAACATGTCTTCTTATGTCTTTATCTGGGATGCGTTTTTTCTCGTTACAACTTTTCCATTTTGAGGACAGTGTTTGACTAAAATAGTCCTCTCGATGTGCTCATTTTTGTTTTTTGTTCGTTTCTTCAATTCTACTGGGGTAGCGTTAATTGCACCAGCGAAATTGTGCTGTAATCTTTAAGACTCAAAAAAGTTGTCACAAAATGTTAATTTTCCACTAGCTTCTGGTCTTGGCTACTGCATGTTTCTTGAGTTTTCACTAGTTTGAATTACAGAGCGACGCTTTTTTTGTGTTCGTAATTCGGTTGGACTTGTTAA